CTGCTGAAAATCGTAAATTCCGACCGCATCGCGAACCCGTTTCCAGGCAGGTTGGTTTAAAAGGAAAAACCTGTAGCGTGGAAACGCCGCCGTCTCTTCTCAAGGTGGAAAGGCTTTCCCGGCCTAACAACTTCCGAGTTCCAGAGTTGGATTACGTAGCCGCAGAGAGAAGCGGGCCAGTGGCGAACGCTTTAGCACGTAATTCCGATAATAACCGGCTTCTCGCGTGACCGGCGACACTAATATCGAGCGTTATGGGGCTGCGTGCTACGAGTGTCGTGGCCTGCGCCACCGGCAGCCGGCGCGCTCCTTCCTAATCATCAACATTGTAAGCTGGCCGCCGGCTGGAAATCCGCGCCGATAGGCGAAAAAGAAACGAGAATAACGATTTACGGAGGCAAGTTAGTTACGCCGACCCGTAAATCGGCTTGATAAGTAGCGTGTACCCGGCCCTCGGCTAATATTCCACCGGCGAACCGAGCGATGTGGCTTTGATGCCGGAGAATAATGGGTTGCGCGCGCGCCAGTCGCCAATCGATGCTCCTTTCTACGCTCCGGCTGAATTTCCACCGGTTTCACGCCGACCGGTTTCCCATTTTCTCGCCTTTTCTCGCCTTTTCTCGCCTTTTTCTCGCCTTTTTCTCGCCCCTTTCTCGCCTCCTTCTCGCCTTTTTCCACGCCGCCGCGCGAATCGCTGTCCTCGCCGTTTCGACGTTTCGAAAGGTCCGTTTGGGACCTCGATGCCACGCGACGGACCTCGACGGACGAAGATTGACCGAAGTTAGAGTCTGGAACGACACACGCGCCCCAGCCGAGTTTCGATAACGCGATACCAAGGCGGATTATACGCGTCTCGGTTTTTACAACCGGCGATTAAACGCGCTCTTAAGGGACTCTTTTATTGCGAATAATCTGTACGCGGGGATCAATTCGGCTGTAAAATTGCGCGCGCAATTACGACCGGCTGGAGCGCGAGATATGGCACGCACGACAGGGTTTCCATCGTTTATTTTATAATAAGCCACACCACTTCCGTCTCTTCGCCGGACCCGATCGCCTTTTAAATCACGCGCCTCCGTGGCTATTCGCGTCTGTAGCACTCGATGGAACCTTTGACAGCTTTTAGGGTTACGTCGCGCGATTCTCTTTCGCGAAGTGGACGGATAGGTAGACGGATGGACGGGCAGATAGACAGATTGAGAGAGAGAGCAAAGGAGCACTTACCATTCGGACTAGTTGGTCCTCCGTGAGGCGTGTAAAGATGTCCGTGAGGATTGTGCGGGTGCGGGGGTGGGGGTAGCCACGCGAAGCCCGCGAGAGAATGCGGAAATCCCGCAGGATTCCAACCGGGAGCACCGGGTGCACCGGTGAGGTAAGGCGGTCCCTGAGACGGCCTCTGAACTCCCGGATGAATCGGTTGAGGCACTACCGGACTGGACTTCTCTTCCTTCTCCTGATTGCTGTCAAGCTCCCTCTCCAGCTCGCAGTCCGAGTCCATCACGTTTAAATCCTCCGACTGACCCACGCTTCTGATCTCTTGATCCTCTAGATCCAGATGATCGGTCCTGTCGCCTTCCAGCGAACGATTCGCCTCGCTGTCGCTTCTATCGTCCATGATCTCTCGCCTACTGACCGGCGACACGGATCGCGGGTCGGCGATCCTGTCGATCCTCTCGTCCTCCTCCTGGCCTCCGCGGTCCCGCTGGATCATAGACTCGGTGATCCTGCTGGCCGGCGAGCTGGAGGACAATCGTCGATCGTCTCGATCCCTCTGAACCTCCTGGTCTATTCTAATCGGCGAGGAGGACTTGTCGTGACTGCCTGTTCTCGAGAAGTCCTTCACCGTGAGGATCTCCTGCCGGCCAGCCGACGGATGATCCTGATCCAGTCTGCTCGACGGGTGATGATGATGGTGATGACTCGCGAACGTCAGCCCGTGCGGACTCAACCTGGCCAGCAGCTCTCTGCTCTGAAGTCTCTGTTGTTCCAACAGTAGCTCGCGGTACCTCGCCTCCATGTCCAGGTTCTTCTCCGTCTCCGTTCGGTCGTCGTTCTCTCGTCTAGCGAACGCGCCGCCGGTCACCGCGGTCTTCTTCATGTCGCTCAGCAGGGAGTCCACGCTGAAGCTGATCTTGCCGCTTCGCGGCTTCAGGTTCGACGACGCGGACGTCGAAGTTGCCATATCGACGTCCTCGCAGAGGCGATCGTTTCCGGTTCCCTGACCCGTCACCACGCCCTCGCTGCTACTCATGCCGATCCACTTTTTTCTCTCCTTCCGTTTCGCCAGCGGACCAGGATCGTGGAACAGGTTCGACGAGAGGTTTACAGCGCTACTCTCGCGGGATCCTCTCGGAACTGGCGGGCTATAAATTTTCCAAACGCCTATGGCGATTGTCCGGTCCCGGGCTCGAGTTTGGCCAGACGTCTCGCGGCCCCTAAATGTCTCTGCAAGACCTCACCATCGGTCACCACTTAACTCGCATCGTAATTTTCACTCGGCTGTGTCCACGTCACTATCCGCTAACGAGCAGACATTTGTCTGTCCGTTTCTACTCTCGCGTCCACTCTATCCCCGGTGGTGGTTAACCGTTCGTTCGCCCGCACGAGTCGATGCGACCTACGACGTCGTGCTCATCCTCCTCTACTTCTCTCGGCCGCGCACCTTACCGAATCCCGCTAAACGTCAGCGTGACAGCCAACGGATAACTCGCTCGTCATAGCTAGAGTCGTTGCGCCTCGATCGGCCTCTATCGACCGGTAATCAGTCGTTCGACGGTATCATCGGCAACCTTTAGGGATTGGCATTCCGAACCACTACTCGAAAGCCCGTTATTCTCGGAATCCGCCGCATCGCCGTGGTGGACCGACCGAGCCGGCACGAGCGGATCCCTCCATTAAAGTCGCAACGCAGTCTCCCTTTACGAGACCAACGACACGACTACACGGTTCCTCCTCTGTCCACTCGATCGTTCAAGCACTCGACATTTTATCCTTCCTTCTTCGGCCCCTTTTCTCCTCCTCGCAAACCTCCGTTTGCCTCTCTACGATCGCCAACCACCGAGTTGCTCCGCGTCCGAAACGACTCTCAGCCGGAGTGACCGTGGATCGAAGCACCTCTCGACCTCATGCTTCTTCCTGCTCCTCCTATCACTGACAATCTCGTGCTCCCTGTCCAAAGTATCGAAGCGACGAACGCGTGCAACCACCCGGGTTCGATGGGTTCCCCGATCACCTACGCTCGCAGCCTCGGCTACGAGCCGCGTATCGTCCCCGTCGCACTGTCACACAATCCCCTGTCACAACGGTCGGCTACGCGCGGGTGGTGTTGGTGTACGTGTGCGTGCGTGTGTGCGTGCGTGTGTGCGTGCAGAGCGTAATCTGCGTAATCTGCCGCGTGGTGGCCAGTGCTGGCGCGGAAACGACACTGATTACCAGCTCGGCTGCGGCTGCGGCCTGCCGAGGCGTTCTCTCTCTTCTCGCTGGCGGCCGGCGTCGCGGTGCTTGCCGCCGTGGCGCGCCGCCCCCGCGAAACCCGTGGAACCGGTACCGTGTCGTATCCTCGGCCAATGCGAACCACTCCAGTCACACCACGTCCCTAACCCGGACCCCGGCTCGGTGGGCGTGTTTCTAGCGCGCCACTCCGCCAATCGAACACGCTTGCAACGTCCGCTTCGGGTTCTTCTCCCGCTTCGACAACGGGGAAATCGAGTTGGCCTCTCGCGTTTCCATCGTCTGCCAGATGGCGTTGCCTGGATCGGGAACAACGGTGGCGCTTCGCGCGCGTCGCACGCGTGGGGATGAAAGCGCGCGCCGCGTGGGGGAAGGTCGGCTCGAAGGGGCTGAAGCGGAACGACGCGGGGTCCGGGATGATGAGGCGACTGCTCGGGGAACGTGACGACTCCTAATTGTCTAATTCCCGGGCGCGATGCGCGAATTGATTGGCAATCCCCGGTGCGTTCGTGTTGGCGGAGGCCGTGCGTGAGCGTGCATGCACACACATACGCGCGCGCGCGCGTTTCACCCGTTCCTCCTCGCCTGCTCGTCTACGCGACCGTTCGACGAGATAACGACAGCGTCGTCGTCATCCAGAGATGCCTTGGTCGGCCCGTTTGCAGCGAGCGCCGTTGTGATCTTTTCCCTCCATCTTTTTTCTCGATCCCGCGAATTTTTCCCCCGCCACCCCCGGCTCGGATCGGACACCTACGATGACGTAGGAGAAAAAGGGGTGGGCCGTTGTTCTCGGCTGCGATAGGATGGCGTGGTATCGAACGGGTGGGTGATTGATGGAAATTGCAAGTTTGATTGGCACGTTTTTGACGTACTTGTTGTGGATTTCAAACCGGCTGACCGGCGGAGACAGGAAATGACGGACCGAGTATAGCCGCGGATCACGAGGGTACCGTTAAACGCGGCTGGGAGGATAGGCGATAAGGCCCTTTGGGTTAGCCGTACTTTTTATTCCCCTCGGATCGAAGCTTTTGATATCGGTATATAGGTATCGGCGTCGCGGCAAAAAGCGACTTGGGTTACTTCGTTATCGGAGCACCGAAAATCCGTAGCGGAGAGCTTACATCAAAGACCGGCCTAATGACGCTACGGAATACGAACTTAATTGCACCCCGTAACCGGCGGGTCCTCGTCAAAGGAGCATCGGGCCGACGAAACCCGGGGACGCGGTTGGCTAGGCTTTTGCGGAGTCTTCGCGATGTTGTTATATACCGGGCGAGCAATATTTTAGGATTAAACTAATCCGATCGGCAGGTTGATAGTCTGGAGTGACAGCGAAAAGCCGCAGCGTCCCGTGGGAGGTCCTCGGGGTGGAAGGAAGAGGAGCAGAATTTTCCCGTCACAGAGTCAAGCCGATTACCCGAAATCTCGTTACAACTGCGCGACAGGAAGCCCGTGGGGTTGTCCTACGGTGGTCGGCAGTCGAGCACCGAGGATCTTTAGGCTAACTGACTCTTCGCGGCGGTTCACCGACCGGCTTTACCTTTTTACGCCTCTATCGATTTCCTCCCGCGAATTAGACCCGTCGAAGTTTAGCGCGGCCACGAACTTTGTCGAACGAGCGTTGGTCCCCGGGGGCGCGGGGAATAAAAATTTCGCGCGATCGTGCCGAAAATCGATCGCTCGTTTTCCAATTACCGACGTTATCGTGGCCATCGTGGTTATCGCGTTGGCTCGGCGTTGAATCGACGACCCCGCGGGATCGAGCCGGGCGCCCTGTCCTATCGAAAACGAGCAGAACGAACATCCCTCGGCGTTTTCCTTCCTCCCCCCTTTGCCTGCCGCGAAGGAGGAGTTAGCTGCTCGTCTCGGGACATTCCCAAAGCCGTTTGCACATTAGCGGGGAATAAACGACACCGAAATATAGCGCGGATGCGCGATCGCCATAATAGGAGCGCCGAGTAGTCTATTAAGCGTCCTCAAAACCAGTTAGTGAGTCGGCAATCCAGTTTAGGTACAAAATGGCTGTCGTTTAGCGAGGATTAATGGTCTCGGGAGTGCCCCGGGGCAGCATAATGGGGCAGATGCGTCCTGGATCAGGGGGAACGATCCCCTTCCACCTCTCCCCGCCTCTGCCCCTCTCTCTCGCTCTCTCGACGCGACGCAACCACCCCGCTCGCCTAGTCTCCCTTACTCCACCCCTCTGCTAACCTCATTATATACACCTATCTGGCTACGGGGTCCATTATGCCCTTTTTGCGCTTTCCTCGCGTACACCGGGATAAATACACGCGTTTCCTCGTCGCTCGTGTGTGCGTCTACGCCCGCGTGCCTGTGTGCGCCTGTACGTGTTCTATTCGTGTTCGTGTTCGTCCTCGTCCGGAACACGGTGCACCGTGTGCGATGGCACGGTGTGGCAGCGTCGAGGGGAGTCGGGTCTCATATTTGGGCCTCGAAGCGCCGTTTAGTTTGGCGTTTCATGGTCGAGCGACTCCCCTAGTCTAGAGCCGATTCTCTCGCTGCCAAACCTCCTTTCTCGTCTCTTCCACGCTGTGTCCTGGGAGCGAATCAGTCCTTTTCAAATCCTCTCCGTCGTTCTCTCGCGCTCGTGCTCTCGTTCCAGGTGGATCGCCACGCTCTCGTCGACGTACCGCTCTCGCGTTGACAGAGATTTGGGGAAGGTAGAGGAGAGAGACAGGGTTGAATACGGGTTTCTTCGCTGTCCCGGAGAAATTCGATCGTTAATAAGATCGACGATCGTTCCTCTTACGATAAGACGAGTTTTTGGGGTTTTTTCTAGGGTTTTCTCGGGTTTTTTCTGGGGTATCTCTGGGTTTTCGATCGATTTTGGATTCGGGGTACGGTGTTTCTTTCTTCCCTCCTTTTTTTTTTACTGGTGTCAGGGCGTTGCAAAGCGGGCTGCAGAATTTTTTGTAGGCGGCCACGGTGGCAACGGTCGGGTCCTGCAGCGCCGGGCCCTTAATCCCGACGTCTCCGGGGGCAGCGTGGTCCGAAATTCGCACCACGCCTACAGTTTAACGAGATAATGCCGGCCGTTTAAAAGGTACAATGGAATCTTAAATACCTGGTCCTTTGTCGAGCTAGGCACCAGCAGCAACCGGTCGACACGGACTTTTGCAGGTGACTGACTTACTCCGCCTCGTTCTCCTCTTCCACGTTTTCCTAATTCCGCGTACGCGTTGCCGTCACTGCCCGTCTAGTATCCAATCTTGAACGTTACCACTCGATTTTCCGAATTGTCCATGCGTTACAGAGGAACGGGGAGCAATTTTCAACGCAAAGATCACGCTGTACGATGAGCAGAGATCCTAGGTGCAGGATTGCACGGACGCCGATGGAAGGAGGACGCAAAGAGGATTTAGAGTGGGCGTGCATGCGACGGAGTTATCCGACGCGTCGGACAAAACGGTCTCGCGTAGCTCGGAAAATCCTAAAGTAATCAAACACAGGCTGCAACGGTCGGTTCATCCTGCAAACAGGATTAGGACGAGATGCGCGACGGGGTTGCCGGGGGTCGACCGGTGGAGAGCTACCCTACCTGTTCCGCAAAGCGGAAACTTGACTTTACGGCTCGACCCCTCTCCGCGCTTAGCCAAAAATTTGTTTCCTCGTCGTGGGGCTGTTTGCGCGCGAGAGGATTGCCGCGTTATCTGCTCGCGGGCCCGTCCGCCACGTTCGTCCGATTGCTCGAGCAAACTGCGCCATGTTTGGCGCGCGCAAATATTTTTCTACTGTTTCGAAAATACCATTAGCTGCTCGCGCGACGAGCGCACACGAGCGCATATCCTACGTTTCGTACCACCGGTGAAAAATCCCGTTCGCCGAACCACGAGGAGCAGCGTATCTCCGAAGGGGATGATAAATTTCAATTTGCTGTCTCCGTGTCGTGAAACGAGTATCCGAAGCCGCGCGAATTAAATTTACCCTCGGTGGAGCTGGTGCGAGCGTTGGCAAAGAGTATATCTCGCGGCTGCGGGGCCGGGCAGAGAGAAGAGAAGAAAGGAAGAGGAGGAAAAAAAGGAATCGTCACGCGTACTTGATCGCTCGGGGATATAAAAGGGGATGATTTGTAACCGGTCATTGTTCGAGCAACGGCCAATGACGGGGCGGCACATCTCGTATCGAGCCAATCGCGCGAGCGAGAGAAGCGAAGCGAACGAGAGGATCCGCTTTGAGACGCGCGAGTGGAGGTCGAGGAGACGGTTCGGGGGGTGTGCAGCGCAACCCCCGTGCGTGCTTCTTTTTCCATCCTCGGCGCGAGACCAGATGCGTCCCGCTGGCTAACGCACCGCGACGGCCTCCATTATGTTTGTTTATTTATTATTAATAGGAAATTCATAACAATCGCATAATAGCAGCCCGCGTATAATGGGTTTTTGTGCGCGGACTGGTTCATCGTCTCGGTATCCCGCGCGTCGTCACGCTCGGGCTGCTCCTCCGCGCACAATGCCCGTTTTCCACGGATATTCTCCACGCCTCTTGGAAAAATCTACGCAGCCACCTCGCGCGAACGAGCGCGCGGCTCGAGGAGGCGACGAATTTCCTTTATTCCTAGTTTTATTCGCTCGCCGAGCCGTCCCGTCTCTCTCTCTCTCTCTCTCTCTCTCTCTCTCTCTCTCTCTCTTCGGCCGACGTTCGGCCAGGAAATTAATCGGCCCGGACGTATCGCGCTTCTGTCGCCCTCGACGTCCCCGTACCTTCCACGCTTCGCGCCGCGACGGCTTCCACGGGGTGGAGTATAAATAACCGTCATAGCCAGGGGAAAGGTGGCTGGTCGGAGTCCCTTTTAGCGGAGCCCTGGATTCGATAAAAACGAGCCGGCGTCCGCTGTCCGCGTGAATCAAAATCGAGGCCCGATAAAGACAGTCGATCACCGGCCACCACCGCGCCACTCCGCTTCGTCGCTTCAGCCGTGCAGCGCCGCACCGCGCCACGCGTCGCGCGACGTCCCCGCGAGCCGTGTCCGAATTGAAAAGCGCTTTCGATCCGGCCCGGTGTCGAAAAAACGAGGAAAAACGGGCGTCGGACGAACGAACGAACGAACGAACGGAAGGGTGCAGACCGAAAAA